GACTTGTGGCACCTAATACAGTGTAAATGTTACATAGATAATTGTTACACTGTATTTGGATAATAAAGAGAAGATGTCTTTACGTGTTCATTAAAGGCACACTGCTTTCCCGATATTCACAGATCAATCTCATCTCTTATTTTTTGCATGCTAGGATACTTTTTTATTTCTTCTTCCTCATTACTATGTCCTTATTGTCAACCATGGTCTATGTCTATCCTGATTGTTCACTGACAAGTCCACGCATGCATCCATCCAACCACCCATCCACCCATCCATCCATGCATCCATCCATCCATCCATCCACCCATCCACCCATCCATCCATGCATCCATCCATCCATCCATCCATTCACTAGCACTTAAAGGGAATGTGGTTGTTTCCCTAACCCTGCCCGTATATGCATACCTTACAGTATCACAGATAGAAACAAATGAGGAAGGCCATCTAATTCAAGTCACTATGTAGGACATAGATCAAGTGACTTTATCTTCTATGAAGCCACCCCTCAGTAGTGTAGTTTCTCTTTGCCTATCTTGTCCTCCTTCTTACCACGGTATGGCTGTACCGGTGGTGCGAACATTTTAGAGACTGACTGCCCAAACCCGCTTATTTATCACAAAGTGCCAGCACTACAATTGAACTTGAATAGTGAGGTTCTAGGTTACAAAAAAACAACAGCTACTATTTCATGCTGGGCTGCTGGGGTGACTTGGCTTGCATTCTGATGGAGGGGACCTTGTGTACCTGTGGTGGCATGCATGCCATAGGTTCACCACCACTGGTCTAGACCATAACTGATAAATAACAAAATCTCACTCCATCTTGAGTTATGTTCTAAAGTTAGCATGAAAGGGAATAGTTGGAATTGCCCTTAGGAATCCCCTAGGAAGACAGGGCCCTCCTGAAGACAGGCCACTTTCTGCCACAGGCCCCTCACAGCAGGTTTGTCCTCACATAGAAAGGACTTGCTATTTCCTTGCATAAAGAATCAAGAAGTCATCTTAGAGTAAAGAGGCGAGGAAGATGCACATCCGTTAGACCTAAAACCACAGCAGGCTCACACTGAGATGCTTACAGTGTGACTTCAACAGATGACCAGACCCCAGCTCAGCAGAGTGCTCTGTCCCCTCCTGTGCCCTCCCACTTGGCCAAACTGGCCATATGCACACTCTCCCTAGCCATGTGACCACCCAGCCAGTTGTGGCAGAGCTGCCTTTAAAGCCTGCTGCTGGCTACAAGGTCTGAGCAAGCCCACCTGCCCGACTCACTGCATGCATTGCAGACCCTCACTATACGGACTGACCCCTGCAGCAGCGGATAACTGATAGCACTCTAAAGAGCTCCTGACCCTCTCAAGGAAACGCGACCCCTACCCCAAGTGTACAAAGTCTACATCTTGTGTTTTCTTCTATTACAAACATAACAGCTGCACTATTATAAACATTTGACACATGAAACAATAGTATGAACATTTGATATTTTAGTGTAGCTCCCCTTTTAAGAGTAGCCTTCTTGCAAAGAAGAGCATTCATTGTGAGGCTTTTGAGGTCCCAAGTCAACATGTGGGCACCTATAGGTTTCACTCTTACACAGCAAGTGGCAAACACTCAAAGCTCAGGGCAGGAGCTGCAGGGGAGCTGGGAGCAGCAGCCATGCAGTCATCCCAAGACAGCCCGGAGGACATCTGTGCAAAGGCTGTCAGCCCCCAAAACTCAACGGACACCATGCAGGTGGAGGGCTGCTGAAGTGCCACGTCCATGGCAAGGCTCGGAGGAGGAGCACCCCAGAAACAACATCCTCCTCCCATCACCACCCCAACTCCCAGCCGCCCGGAGCGTTCTTTATGTCCCCACTTGGTCTAGCACTATGGAAGCTGATATTTCAATGTACTCCCTCTCCGTAATTAACAAAACCTCTTTGCAACTTAGTTTTAGCACAGGAGTTACATACATGCCACTTAACACTTCATTCAAAGCAAAAGTTGCTCTCAGCTTCTCCAAGCAGCACAGACACTGGGCTTTTGGCAAGCACCGACATCGGGCCCCTGCGCAGGGCTGGAGCATGGACTCACCTCTCTGGAGGACCAAGGAGCTCTTTCCCGTCCGCTGCAAGGGCAAGAAGCAGAGTGAGAAGGAGGCACTGGCCTTAGTCTGGTAGAGTGAGGGCTTTTCATGCCACAACCAGCTCTCAAAGCCTGGTGTGGAGTGGCAACTCATCTGGGACTCCGGGGACTCCCTGTCCCTGCACTGTGGCTGTCACCCCCATGTCAGGGAGCAGGTATGGATACGATCTCCTTGGCGGGTGGGAGCCTCTGTAGGGTTTCTCTATTCCTGTCTTGTCTTGTACAGAGCAGGGCAGTGAGCACGGCTGCCCATGTGTGGCTGCAGGCGCACTGGCCGTGTGCTAAGCATCATTCAGGCTCTTTTGAGGTACTCAAGTGCACATCACCTTGCTGTTCTCACTGTGGTCTTGTGAGACTGAACTATCATTACTGCTACCTATAAACAAGCAGAAAGACTCAGTGAGAACAAGGCCTGAACATCCAGGGCTAGGGCTGGGGAGCTGGAGCCCGTGAGGCCACTGTACTATGAAGACGTGGTGCTTCACTCCTGCTCCTGGAAAACTGTCTCTCCCATGAGGAAAGCAGGCGAAGGCTTAATTATGTAACATTTATAAAAACCACACTTAGCCTTCTTTGATGTGGAGATGGTCAGGTTACTAAAGTAAACTAAGGAGAACGCTGTCGCTCTGTGTAGGATTTCCTTCCAGGGTGAGGCTTCGGATGGGTTGCAGCACCGGTTCTCCAAGTGTGTGGTTCCTGGGCCACCAGTGGGAGCATCCCTTTATGACTCGTTAAAAGGCAGATTCTGAGGCTCTACCCCAGGCCAGCTGAATCTGAGATGCTGGAAACCGAGCCTGGCCGTGTGAGCCCTAACAAGTCCTCTCGGTGATGCCAACATGTGCTCAAGCTGAGCATCATCAGGCTGGAGGAACCCACGAGAGGAAGTTGCCTGAATCAGTCAAAGGAGCAGTGTCCCGCTCTCTCCATGTACCAGCTGCTAGTGGCCGTGGCCACAGTAAGACGTGTGTCGGCACTACCACACATGACCCCCAGAAGAGTGCTCTCCTGCAACAGGACCCAAGTCAGGGGTTTCAAGTGCCACCAAGGTCAGGTGGTGGGTGAGGAGTGGGTGACTGCCGTTCCTTCAGCAGCAGAGTAAGATGCAAAGTAGCGCCGAGGAATGGGCTCCAGAGCTGTGTGAGTGCCTCCAAGGGACGGGGAGGGCAGGCCGGTCCCGTAGGACCCTGCTGGGCCTCCAGAAGGCCTCGGGCCACGTTCCCACTGGCCTGCTCCCCTCAGCCCCCACCTCCCCTGCCCTGCACCACTGTGTTGGCAGCAGGGTCTGCAGGGAGCACCAAGGCTCACCAGCTCCCTGTTCAGTGACTTCTTGTTCTCTTCCTCTTGGATGTATTCCCAGCCCATCAAGCACTCTCAGGGGAGGCAGGCTGCCTGGGAGTGGCAGGGCCAAGTCCCACAGCTTTTGTCATGTAGCAGGCAAGTTGTCCAGCCTGTGTAAGTGCACCACAGTGATGGACATCTGGCCTGGGCAGGGGAAGAAGGGTGGTGCTGCCTTACCTGGGCATCGGTGCCAAGGGAGGGACCCAGGACGTGGCCTGCAGGGCACTCGGAGTGTGCAGCTCCCACGTTTCCTTACCTTTGGCTTGGGTCTCAGTGAGGGCAGCCTGCTGCCTCTGGAAAGCCTGGAGATCTACGGCTGGGGGCTTTGGAGGCTTTGGGGGAGCAGGACCCAGAGACTCAATGGGAGGCAGTGGCTTCGTTCTGGGGAGCTGGGGTTGCTTGGTGTCCAGAGGGTTTGCTGAGCAGAGACAGGACAATGTGCAGGTCATGGTTTCCATGTCATGACTGGTTCCCCTGCCTCAGTCCTCCTCCCGGCCATCTGCACCCACTCAGCAGCCAGTGTGCCCAGCCCTCGGCAGACCCACTGCCTACCTGTCCCACACCAGTGCCTGGCCTGCCTCATCGCATGGCATCAGCCCTCCACAGACCACTGAACTCAGCCCAAAGTCCTTCACCTCTTACCTGAGACTGTTCGTTCCTATTCTGGGATGCTTCTCTCTCGTCTGTCTGTCTGTCTGTCTGTCTGTCTGTCTGTGTCTCTCTCTCTCTGTCTCAAGCTTCAACTCTCCCCCCACCCCATCCCCACCCCCATACTGGGGATTGAAGCCAGAGCCTTCACACTGAGCTATAGCTCACCCTCCTTATTCTTCTTAATTTTGAGACAGATTCTCATTAAGTTCTTAGTGGCCCAACTTGGGCTCAAATTTGAGATCCTCCTGCCTTAGCCTCCCAGAGTACTGAGATTATAGGCTTGTGCCATCCTGGCCTGCCTTCAACCCACTCTAAAAACTCTGCTCCAATGATAGCTCCAAAAGCTCAGGATGGCTTTTCTTGATTTCTCCAGAAATCAAAGCCAGAATGACCCACTCTCTGATTTGTATTCCATCACCAGTGCCAACACTGTGGCACTAGTGGAGAGGCTGGTCCCTCTCCCTATGACCATGGGGCCCCAAGGCAGGAGCGTGTCCCATTTAATCTCCCAGGACCTGCTTAGAGGGGACAGAGAGATTCTTCCCTGAAAGGATTCTTCAAACACTTAGGATGTAACATAGCACATGAGCTACAATGAGGAGAAAAATTTCTTCTGATTTCCAGGGCTCATAGCCTAGGACTGGCTTAAAACTGCTTTGTAACTTTTGGTATCTGTTAATGTTATAGCCTTGAATTTTCTTTTAAAGTCAAGATTTTATGTATTTTGTGCTTCTGCACTCAAAATCCAGTTCCTACAGAAATTTCAGTATTGTACATGCAAATCATATCTGCCTATTACACTGAAAATAACACAGAAAGGTCGTGTATAATCCAAGTGCCTTCATATTTGGTTTTCAGAATATGTAGCTGACCCTACAGAATTCTCAGGGTAAAACTTAGCAAGTAGCAGGGTCTCTGAGGTGCCTCTCTGTAGCTTCTGTCCTGAGCTTTTCAAGCCGGGAGTGGAGGGACAGCATCCTTGCCCTACCAGCAGGGGGCACTGCTCTGATGCACAGAGTAAAATTATTCCCTTCTGAGACCTTAGCTCTAAGCCCAATATCAGAAGGTGCAGTTTTTATCAAATTAGAGAGAAGACAATGAAAATACACTATCACTTACCGACTAGGTTTCTAATTTTTACCAGGCATTTTACTAAGCAATTTACAGTTATTTCACTTAACTCTCCCAATAGTTCTAATTTGTTTTTATCCATCTTTCCTCCCTTTCCATCCTTCCTTTTCTAAATGTTTATTGTATGCCTGGCATTGTTCTAGCAGCTGGGGATAGAACACATGCAATGCTACCTTCAAGAATTTCTACTCTAATTGGAGGAAATGGATGCAAAACAAGCAACAAATAAGCAAGATAATTCAAGAGAGATGTCTGGAACTCTTGCCTCAGTTGATTGTCGCTGGCAAGGGAGGGAAAGAGAAGTAGGAAAAAGATCTGAGACTCAGAAAAGTCCAGAACGCATGGCCGTAAAGACTGTGGTAAGTAGTTTAGTCTGTAATCTCAGGACTGGAGAAATCAAGGAGAATTTTTAAACAGGAATTCTACCCACCTATCTAACCATGAATGCATCCATCTGTGAATCCATCCATCCAGGAACCCATCCACACATCCATCCACCCACCCACCCACCCATCCACCCACCTATCCATCCATCCATCCATCCATCCATCCATCCATCCATCCATCCATCCATCCATCTATCCATCCACCTACCCACCCAATCATTCAATACATTTTTCTTTTGAGGAAACATTCAACTTGGTCTTACATCTTGTTCTTCTAGGGATATGGCGGCAAGGAAGATGATCTTTTTAAAAAATTTTTCTGAAGTAACTGAAAAAATGTATAACCACATACCAGGTATAGGAATAAGTGATATGGGAGGACAACTTGGTACCTTTTCAAATATAGTAACCAACAAAGTCCACTCAGCAGATGACACTTGAACCAAGGCTTTCTTTAGTGAAGGGAAGGAGAGGCAGAAGAGTCTGCAAGGCAGAGGGGCTGTAAGTATAGAGACCTGGGGTGGAGCCCACCTGGTGCTCTGAGAAGACATGTCCCACGAATGGGCCTGTAGGTCACACAGGGCTCTGGACAGCTAGGACTAATAAATTTCTACATCATTTCTGACACTATTTACTATTTTTAGTCTCTTTAGTGGAAATTTTCAAAAATTTATTTATTTGGTGCAAGGTCTCACTACACAGTTTGACTCCTCCTGTCTCAACCCCTCCAGTGCTGGGATTACAGGTGTGTGCCACCACGCCCAGTGTCAGTGGCTGGCATGGTGCGTCCAGGGTTCTGGGGCTGGCTCAGCCTGCAGTACCAAGGCAGGATTGAACCCAGGTCTTTGTGCTTGTCATGCAGGTGCTTAGATTGCAGAGCTATCTCCTCAGTCCTTTATTCTCTTTAAAAAATAATAATAAAAAAAATTAGCACTGGAAAAAAGATAGCAGACATCAACTGTCAAAACAATATTGATTTTTAGTAATTTTTCATGACCCATTGCACAGCAGGGACTTGGATGTGGAGCAGCATAACGGAGGGCACAGAACGGTGCCAGCTCGGCCTCCGGTGCCTGCCACTCACAAGAGGCCCAGGGGAGACTCCTGTGCATCATGTGCCATGTGCGAGTACCTAGGTGAGTGTGCGCTGTGAAGATGGGTGTTTACTGTTCCTAAGCAGATGCGTAAGTTTCCTTATTTAATAGAACTTGGGCACATTGTTATTTGTAAAACAACATAGTAAGTTTCAGCAGCTGTGGTATAGAATTACAAAAAGGTATCCAATCGATTTTGCTTTTGATAACTTACTGTAATTACATCTATAACACTAATACGACAAATGCTAATACTAGCAATGTTATAATACTAGAAATGTTATAATAAAAACATTAAAAAATAAAGGAAGTTTTGTTACGTATATACTGTTTGGATGTGTCTAGGCTGCAGGTTGGAGGTACTTGTATGATAATAAAATATATATTTTAAAGGATATTTCATTTATATATAAACTACATTATACACTTTACGTGGGGACCGACACAATTCCTCTTCACTCAGTGCAGCCAGGGAGGGGGAAAGGCTGACATCCGTGCCTTAGCGACCCACGTGGGTGGGCAAGGCTGTAGAAGTGGAGGGGCCAGTAGGCTGCTGCAGTTCGTCCAGGAGATGACGGTGGTGTAGACAAGGGCAGAGCAGAGACAGAAAGAAGCCGGAAGAGCTACGCATATACGGTACTCTCTGGTAGAACCCACAGCCTGCTAGTGGACTCCATGCAAAGTATGGGGTGGGGGGGAGAAGAATACAGCAGCGCTCAGTTTTTGTACTGAGCAGCGAGAGGGGATCGCTGTGCTGCCGAAGAGAATTCTGGTAACACCTCTGCCACATAGGCCAATGGAGCGGGCTCTAAGAAGTATGTACATCACCCACGTTCATGCAGCTTACATGATGTAAAGCTAGGAGTCAAATTCAAGTTTGCCCAAACAGTTGCACAGTGTAATTCCTGGAACTTAAGCACGTTGCACAGACTTCAGTCTATGCTTTAGCAGCCAGCCCGGCGATTCCTGAGCTCCACTGCCCAAGTCACACGCAAGACAGCTCTACTGCGACCCAGGGTGCCCTCCCTCAGGCCGCAGGGGTTTCTTTTCCTACCTGGGGCTGGGATGGCGAGCTCACATTCGTAAGCAGGCTGGCAGGGATCATCTGTTGAGCTAGCAACACTGGGTTTTTCTTGGTTCTTCCTGCCCGCTCCAGAGCGGAGAGAGGGGACCTTCTCAGAGGTGGCGAGGATTTTTCTATGGGCCAGCTCCATCTGGGCAGGGAGTGTCTGGGCCCATTTTGGTTGAATATTCCCCCATGGTCTCTCTGGAAGAAGCCCCGTGCTTTTCTGCTTTCCTGGACCTTGGAAAGCCTTAGTCCCACCACTGGTGAGGAGAGGAGCCAAGCGCATCACGCCCTTCTGAGATGAAACCTTCTCCCACTTCCTGAGCTTGTCTTGGAAGCTGCTGGCCCCCATCCCTTTCTCCTCATCGTCCACCTCTGGGTTTGATGCATTCACATCTGGGGGCAGAGAAGCTACCTGGGACTCCCTTGGAGAAGATGCAGTAGGTTTTTCTAAAAGTCCTGGGGAACTTGAGCTCTTCTGGATTTTACGCCTCTGGGTCCATTTCATGCGCTGGGCTTGAGGGGTGTTGGCCTCAGCGCCAGGACCCCGCGCCGGGGACCAGTTGTGGTAGGATGGGCAGGGTTTCCCAGGGGCCACAATCGGGGTTGGCCATGCCCATCCGATGTCAGCTGTTTGAGACACACTTGCTGGGAATTTAATAGGCCCTAGGAGAGGCGGAGCATCCCATTTCTGAAATTTGGCTCGAAGTTCCTTGAAGCTTCTTACCCCTTCCTAAAGCATAAGAGAAAAAGAGCGAATCATTCTAGGAAAGGAGCTGTCATAATTAGCTGATGTCACAGGACACAAGGGCTCAGGCGGCTGGCACTGCAGCTGCTGGCCTGTGGGGCCATCCTAGTCAGGAAGGCTTCTGCCTTGCGTGAGAACACAACTGGTCTCTTCGAAATGTTTCAGGTGCATTTAATTTTCTCACAGTTTACAAAATGAAGCATATGTAGAGATAGTGCTATTACTTGCAAACCCCTCGACGCAAACTGTTGATGGTTTCCCACTGTCTACAAAATAAATTACAAACTGCTGTGTATAGCAAGATTCTTCATAATATGGTTCCAATGAACTGGAAGAGAGTGAAATTGTGCTCTCCAATTGCAGCAAAACACAGTTTCCCTCACATCAAACACACTGTTTGCAATTTCCCAAGTGGCCTTGCAGTGTCCCCTCCCCATGCACATGTGTCCTCGCATCTCAAGTCACTGCCCGTGTACCAGGCAATTGCTTCCTCACATTGCAGTCCCCAGGGAGGGACTCTGCAGAGCCCACAGCTTCCTGCCTCCTGGCTGCTTCACTCTTCACATCCTGCCTGTTGAACTTAACACGGTGGAGTGGAGTCGGAGCTAGACAGACCTAGGTTCAAATTCTGCACCTGCCCTTGGCCTCTGAGACAAACACTCTGGGAAATATGATCCTAGCTGTATGTGCAGTTGCAGCCTCACTGTTGGGCAGACGAGACTCATACCTGTCAAATGTCAGCACAGTGCCTGACACGTAGTAGGCCTGGGATAAATAGAAGCTATACTAGATACAGAATGATAAATAAAAGCTGTAGGAGGCTAGATGATCTTTCTGTTTGTTTGTTTAATTAATTTATTTATTTATTGCCAGCTCAGCCCACAAAAAAAGTGTGAGATGGCGTGGCATGTGGTACCAGGGATCGAACCACCAGGTCTGCGTTTGCCTAAGCTTGCCTAAGCAGGTGCTTTAGACTGCTCAGCTGTCTCACCAGCCCCTCTTTCTGTATTTTTAGCTGTCTGTGGGAGAACAAACCCTTCTAAATTCAGCCTAAGTAGAGGATATGGAAATGGTGGTGGTCACCGCAGCCCAATCCTTAGGCAGAGAAAGGGGTGCACTCAGGCCCTATGGGAAGTTGGTGGGTGATTTGTCCAGGAGGACTCCTGCTAGGCGCATTTCCTACCACTCCCTCTTTCTCCTGCTAGATCTACATGATTGTTTTGAGTGCATCTGGCCCTCTTTTGCCTTCACAGGAAGGAGAAGGTCGAAAAGCAAGAGCCATGTCCAGTCCTGCTCACGTGGCTGATTGTTTTCACTTTCACATACACAGTACATCTCCAGGGCAGTGACTCCTGGTTCGCCAGCAGAGGAAGTGCTGGCTGACCTTTCCTCACCTTGTTTACTGTTGACTCACACCTGCCCTGGGGAGATTCAGGAAGTGTGGGATTAAACCCTGAGTACAGAGCAGGTGTTGGGCACCAGCCTGCAACTCCTAGTTATATTGTTCTTCCTCTGTCTCTTTCCCTCTCTTACCCACACCCCACACCCCACATCCCACATCTCACACCCACACTTGTAGCTCTCAGCCACAAATTGCTAAGTACTGGTTTCTCATACTGCTGCCAGCAGATGACTTAGCTCGGCTATAGCACCTCTCCCGGATGTGGCATAAGCCTGGACTAGGCCTGGGCCAGGGCACCTGGTGTAAAGCTCCGCTCTGCTTTCGCTTAGTTATGTGGTAAGGGCAATGCATCTTACTTTTCAGTCTTACCCTCTGAACTCTGAAACAGGACTTGAATTTCTAATGAAAATTCAGGCTGTTTGGATCAAATAAGGTAGCAGATGTGCATACCTCAAGTGGTAAATATTTATTAAACTGCGGTAAAATATACATAAAATGTGCCACCCTTGGCAAGTTAGTATTGGTAAGGAGACTCGTGTTGTTTGCAAAAGGCCTTCCGTGTTGCAAGACTAAAACTCTGTCGATTACACAAGGGCTCTGCTCCCCACCCTCTGGCCCTGCTGACTCTGGATTTGAGTGTATTAGGCACCTCCTGTAAGCAGATTCGTTCAGTACTTGTCTTTTTTAGGACTCTGTATTTTATTTAACCCAATAGCCTCAAGGTTTAGCTCGTGTTGGGATTTCCTTCCTTCGGAGGTAATCCTCATTGTATACAGTCATGAAGCATTCTGTTTTCCATCTACTTATCTGTCAGTGGACGCTGGGTTTGCTTTTACCTTGTGGCTGTTACAAATGATACTGCTACCAACCTGGCTGTACAAAGCTCTTTCATGCCCTGCTTTTAATTCTTTTGGGTGTGTTTCCAGAAGTGGCATTGTTAGATCATATGGAAGTTCTATTTTTACATGTTTGAGAAAAGACCGTGTCATTTTCCATAGCAACTGCACTGTTTAATATTTACACTGGCAATGAGCTAAGTTTCCAGTTTATCTGTGTCCTCACTACACTTTTTAAAAATAGTTCATCCTAATGGATGTGTCTTGGTCAGAGGCTAACATTTTTGAACTAACACAGTGGTTTTTATTTTTTTCAAAATGTAATTTTTTAATTAAAAAATCTTTTATTTATTTATTTGGTACAGGGTCTCGCTATGCAGCTCAGACTCATAGTGATCCTCATGTCTCAGCCTCTGCAGCGTTGGGATTATAGGCGTGCATCACCACGACCGGTTTTGGTGACCAGCATGGTTCACCCAGGATTTTGGGACCAGCATGGCAGATGGTATTGGGGATCAAACCTGGGTCCTTGTGTTTGCCAGATAGGTGCTTAGACCGCTGAGCTATCTCCCCAGCTGTTTTCATTTTAAAAAGAATTAAAAAGTGATAAAAATAATACAGAATAGAAGACAGATAAAAAATAGAGGAGCACAGCAAAATTATGGAAACTTTGAATGAACAATATAGGAAAGAATTAGAATGCATAAAACAGATTCCAAGAGATATCCAAGAAATTAAACATTCCACTGAAAGATGGCAAAAGCACTTGAATGAAACAGAAGACAGGCTTTCAGACCTTGAAGACAGCACTGCAGCTAGCAATCACAAAAGGAGAGATCTCTTAAAAATGAGAAGGAACCGGGAAATAGCAATCCAACAGCTGCAAGACGATGCAAAGAAAAATAATATAAGACTGATGGGTGTCAACAAAAACTTTGCAAAAGTAATAGCAGCAGAAAATTTCCCAAACATGGGAAAATAATCTGACATATATATATATATATATATATATATATATATATATATATAAAATGAGGCATATGGAGCTCTAATTAGCCATAACCAAAATAAATCTATACTCATGGTGGTTATGGCAACTATTTTTTAAAGGTATTTAGTACAGGGTCTACAGGATCTTATTACACAGATTGGATTCATAGTGATCCTCCTATTTTCAGCCTCCCAAATGCTGGGATTATAGGCGTGCATCACCATGCCCAGTCTCAATTGCCATCTCAGCATGCCCCAAGGGCAGGGACAGCACAGCATGCTGAGAGATGATCCCTGGTCCCTATGTCTGCCTAAGCAGGTGCTTTAATCTGCTGAGCTATCTGGCCGGCCCTCCCATAATGGTTATTTTTTGCCCACTTTTTGAAGCCGTGAAATATAAAATTATTGCTTGGTAGATTTTAATCTCTGTAGAACTGATTAGGCTAAGCATGGGAAATAGAATTATGAATCTGATAACCTCCAAACCTAGGTCCTGTGGAAAGATCACTGGTTCAGGAAAAGAAAGCCTGACTATGTGTGGTTCATCCTCTTTCAACAAATGTTCATTGACTGTCTACTATATAGACCAAACACTATCCAGTGTTGGGGATTCAACCAGAATCTATTCACATTAGGTAAGTGCTCTACAATGGAGGTATACTCCAAACCTTTTAATTTTATTTTTAAGACTTGTTCAAACTCCTGCTCCTGCCTCAGCTTCCACAGCAATGTGGACTACAGGTACGTATCACTACATCCAGTTTAAATATGCATTGTAACATCAGAGAGAGAAGGAGAGAGGAAGAGCAAAGAGGAGGGAGACAGAGGAGAGGGGAGAAGGAAGGGGGAGAAAAAGAGGAGGAGGAAGGAATAAAACATGCAAGTCAATATCTGAGATAAGTGCAGCAGACAAATTAAACAAGGTGGAGAGTGATGGCTGCCACTTCCTGACCCCGCTGTCTGCTAATCCCCAAATGCCACCGATCATGAGTCTTGCTGTGTATGAGGACGTGCAGTCTTTATGCCATGGTCCCTGCCCTCTGGTTGGCCCCACTCTCTGCTTGGGATGACTTATCTATGGTCTCTGCTTCTCCTCTAAGCTCTCCTACTCCATCTTTTATCTAGCTGTGAGACAAATCTGTTTAAAAACATGAATCTGATCATGTGAGTCCCTTATATGTTCAAAATCCTTCAGCTTGGCCTCCCCAGACCTTTCCAATAAGCTGAAGCTCTTTCTTGGCACATTAGACCTTCCCTAATCTCACCCCTGTGGACTTTCTGAGTCTCCAGCTGACTCCTCTCTTCAGCTGACAAGCTGTGTACATTTCTCCAAACCCGTGCTTCCCTCATGTCCCTGTCCTTGTAAAGGCACTGCTTCCCTGGAAGGAAATGCCTGCCTTTCTCCCAGTGTCGTGAGCTGGTAAATTCCTGCTTATTTCCATGTCCAGTTGTGCCTCTTGGAATCTATATTGGTTGTACTAGGTGGTAGCCACTAAAGTTACAAACAGGAGTAAATGCCCCCTGATCTTGCAGCGCTCATGGGTGAGGGGGATAGATGGAAGTGGATCATCCTAACACAATGCAGGAAATCACTCAAAGCATAGGACGTGTCTGCCACAGGGACATAGAAAGAGGTTAATGATACCATTAGGGGGGCGGGGAACACTCCACAGATGTGGCTTCTCAACCAAAAGCCAACCAAACAAAGTAGGGTGAGAAAAGACAGTCCAGAAAGAGAAAAGCACGAACTACAGGCA